AAGTCTGGCACATCATCTGTATGGTATTTATTTATATTTGGGTCATATCATAAATATTGATTAAATGTAAACTTAATACTTATTATACAAAGAAATTAACATTGTAATTTATTTACAAAGAATATTAATCAAAATATTAGCTTAAAATTCAAATAATCTAATAAATTTTTAATGTCTTCAAAGGCCCATTAATATTTTACTAGATATCAGAGGTTTAGTAGAACTGGCCTGTTAAAAATATTTTACTAAATTTGCCAGATCTTTGCAATTTTTTAATATATTTTGCAGATATCTGATAATATAAAATAATTGCATAAAAAAATATTACCTTTTATCAATACCTCTAAGAACACTATCTACAAGGGGCTGACAGTACCGCAGGCAGCTAAATTTCGTTAATTTATCTATCAATACGGATACAACGGGAGTTAGATATCCCTGCTCCATATTATCCTCTCGTTCCAAGATTTTTAACGAGATCGCCAAAGGTTTCATAACCTATAAAATTTAAATTTATTTAGAGAATATCCTTGTATTGCTGTTGCATACTCTTTAACAAAAAAACTTTCCTCTTGCCTAAACATTGCAAATCCAATTTGATCACATACTTGTTCTACTTCTGAAAACTTTTCAGAAAGCATCTTATCTATTAATTTCATGGATTGGTAATAAGAATTCAATCTTGTCTTGTTGGGAGCTATTAAATATCTTCCCAATTTCTCCAAAAAATATCCGCCATTTTTGACGACATATTTTGTTTAATAACTAAAGCAAAACATTTTGAAAAAGTGTATCTAGATATTCGTTTATAATTGATATCACTATCTGCCATCTCCGCATCTGTTGTTGCAATAAGGTTAAGTTTATGGCAACAACAACGTTGATGTTTTGGTAGGCTGATAGTAGGAATACAACGGATAATATGTCATCCAAATCTATCAATTCCATATCCTCACTACTATCTTCTTCATTTTCTCCAAAAACTCTAGAAAAAATAAATTTATTTAAATATTTTTTGCTAAATATAAATATTACTTAAATGCCTTGACAAAGTTGGTTCCATTGTCAGTCACCATCTTCACCACCTTATTATGAATTTTATAGAACTTGTGGATACCCATGATGGCCAAAACATCATATGTTTGCCTCCCAATTATTCTCCTCAGTGCCAAAGCGGCTGACCTTCTCTTAAGGGTTAACGGATCCAGCCAATGTGCAGTAAGTCCAATAAAAGCCCTAATAAAATAAACATTATAAAATTCATATAAATATAATATATCTTCGATGACCACTCCAACAATCAGCAGTGGTGCATACATAAGAAACTTCAGACAAATCTCTTATAAGATTTGTCGTCATATAAGAGAAAGAAGTAGATATCCTGTTGCCCAGTGTTTGGCGACAAATAATTTTTGTCGCATGAGAAAAAGTTTTAATCATTTTTTCAAATGAAGGATCATCAACCAGAGACAGTGGTTGGAAGGTGTCAATAATAAAATTCATGATAACCTTGTCTGCTGTTTTTTGCGATACAGCTGGAATGTTTAGATTGTTAAACAGAACCACTTTGGTTTTGCAGTGATATATTTTTTTGTGTAGAGAATTCGTTGAGGTGTTTGGATCTCATTTTTAAATTCACTGTGCTTTCTTTTTCTTTATAAAAGAAAAAAATAGTATGTATCAAAGTTGGATGAAAATAACTTCTCCTGAATCAAATTTCATTTTTAAAATTTTATATGGAAATTTAAAGTTAAAAAAAAACAATGTATAGGCTGAATGTAAAACCTATATAAACAAAAAAATGATAAAGGGTTCAACACAAATTTTGTTAAACATATTAAAGTATATTATTTAATTTGTATATGGTTAAAAAAGGTTCATATAGGTTATTTTAAATTTTAAGTTTAATATTGTCTTTGTCTATCATTATTAAAAGTTGCCCAAGATGATATGGGCTAAAGATTTTGATAAAATATTTTCCTATATTTGAATATAATTAACTTTTTTGGCATTTAAGAACTATGGATTAAGGGTTCAACAAATTTTGTTAAACATCTTAAAGTATGTTTTATTAGTGGTTAAAAGGAAGTAGGTTATCTTAAAAATTTAAGTTTACAATATTGTCTATCATTATTAAAAGTTGCCAAAGATGATATGGGCCAAAGATTTTGATAAAGTATTTTCCTATTATGAATATAATGAGGCTTTTTTAATAGCTCCCAAAAAGACAAGATAGAATTCTTATTACCAATCCATGAAATAAATAGATAAGATGCTTTCTGAAAAGTTTTCAGAAGTAGAACAAGTATGTGATCAAATTGGATTTGCAATGTTTAGGCAAGAGGAATGTTTTTTTGTTAAAGAGTATGCAACAGTAATACAATGATATTCTCTAAATAAATTTAAATTTTATAGGTTATGGAACCTTTGGCGATCTCGTTAAAAATCTTGGAACGAGAGGATAATATGGAGCAGGGATATCTAACTCCCGTTGTATCCGTATTGATAGATAAATTAACGAAATTTAGCTGCCTGCGGTATTGTCAGCCCCTTGTAGATAGTGTTCTTAGAGGTATTGATAAAAGGTAATATTTTTTTATGCAATTATTTTATATTATCAGATATCTGCAAAATATATTAAAAAATTGCAAAGATCTGGCAAATTTAGTAAAATATTTTTAACAGGCCAGTTCTACTAAACCTCTGATATCTAGTAAAATATTAATGGGCCTTTGAAGACATTAAAAATTTATTAGATTATTTGAATTTTAAGCTAATATTTTGATTAATATTCTTTGTAAATAAATTACAATGTTAATTTCTTTGTATATTAAGTATAAGTTTACATTTAATCAATATTTATGATATGACCCAAATATAAATAAATACCATACAGATGATGTGCCAGACTTGACTGTAAAATTTAAACGGGTTAAGTTTTGCAGATACTTGATTTAATTTATATTAAAAAATGAACACTTATTTAATAATAAATTAATTATCATTTCATAATATAGATTTTCTTCACTGTATGAAGACAGTAACATTTTGGCAGCCATGATAACCCTAAATTTAAACTTAATTGGCCTTATATTAATCTGCCACAAAATATGATGGTAAAAGAAAGATTAGTTGCCCATTTGGAAAATATGCTGGAACAACCATATGCGGATACCTCAAATGATTCTATGGATGACATTGATGCTTTTTTTGGGAAAAATACTGTACATAATGCTTGTTCCGTTAAAAAATTTTTTTATTCAAATGATGATTCGAATATTTTTAATACTTATATTAATTTAAAAAAAATATTTATTGAATATAATACACCTTTGCCATCAAGCGCTCCTGTCGAGCGCGCTAAACATGTTCTAAATGAAAGATGCGGATGTTTAAATGATGATAATTTAGAAAACATTTTATTATTAAAAGCTAATTTTAATTATAAATAAATATATTATAATTGTTATATTTATTATTCAATTACAATAAATTTCTACCATATTTAATTTATTTTTATATTAGTTAATTTGCATCGGTTATATTATAATATTATTCAATTACAATAAATTTATAACATATATTAGTTAATTTTGCATCGGTCAGAAATTTCCTTCAGAAATTTAAATAGGAAAAAAGATCGTGCGCGATCTTTTTTTAAAAAAAAGGTCGATCCTGGATTTCGATCCTCTTTTTTGAAAAGATCGTGATCGGGATTCGATCGTTTTAAAAAGATCGGTTAACAAGCCTGGTCAAATGATACAAAAAATACTTTTAATTCAAAATATATTATTAAAAAAAGCCCTAAAAATGTTGTCAAGAGTATTATATAATCAAGCTCAAACTGAAACTATAATACTAATTGATTAGATTTATCATATTATAATAAAGAAATAATAGAATAGATATTTATTTTTCTTTTGGTGAAACATTGCTAAGTTTACAAATAACATTGAACTGGATGTTTTAATTATATTAAAGAAAGTCAAAATACATTATAAAGGCTTAATTATTAGTTATTACACTTCCATTTATTATAAATACTCTTCTTTTGAAAATTAAACTAATATAATAGTAATATTAAAAAATAAATGCCTAATTATTATATATAAATAACAAAACCAAGATTAACTCTTCATCAAATATTTTATTAATGATACTGTATCTAATAATTCATTTTTTTTATAAAGAATCTGTATCTAGATTCTATTTCTGTAGGACCTGCTCAACTCAGGAATGTAATAAATTAAATTTAAACATGTTGACATTAAGATTATCAAATAAAAAAAATTTAAAAGAATTACTTGTAAATGTCTCTTTAAGTTCGAGGATGATATTTTGGAAGATGATATTATCTTCTTACAGAGACGGCATTTGGTGCTGATCATATTATAAGAGTTGCTTTGATCCAGTTCACATAAAGTAAAATACTTACGTAATTTCAAAAATGGTAAAAGATTCTCATTCTCACTTATATCTGCTGTTACATCAATAGTAGAAGCAATAGTCTTCTAAATCTATAATGGACATTTACATTTACCTATTAAAATAAATATTAATATATTATTATAAATTTATATTAAATAACTTGTAAGAGCTCTAAATCTCGTAAAATTTAGGAAATGAATAAATATATCTATAAAATAAATGGTGGAATGGAAGTTGATAAAATATGAAGATAGATATTTTATTTTAAAATAATATTTTAATTTAATTTTCATAATTTTTATTTAATTTATTGCTTTTTAAGTAAAAAATTAATTTTTAAAAAGATCGGGATCGAATTTTAAACAAAATGATCTCGATCTCGATCCTCAATTTAAGTCAGAATCATAAATCTCGTAAAATTGACAAATTTGCGATCGAATCCAGGATCGTCGATCTTTTGATTCGATCTTTCAACAACTCTGATATGACATAACATAGGCAAGTAAAATCCTGACACTTCCATTTGATCTATAAGTGTCAGATCTTAGTGTTGTCAGGTTTCCATTTTTTAAATTTGTATCATTAAAATGCTAGAAAAAAAACCAATATCTGAAATTAAGAATAAAATTAAGAGACGTGAAATATTCTTAAAGACACAAAAGCAGCAGAATGTAAATGATTCCTTTTAAAACATATAAATTAATGTATTTTATTTAGCGACAAAATAAAAAAAGGAAAGAAAAAAATCAAGAAGTTTATTATAAATATTTAATGATACTAATATAAATTTTAGACTTCCGAAAAGGGTGTTACACATACCATTGAAAGCTTAAGGGAGCCAGATGAAACTTTCGTTAATGAAACTAATGTAAAAGTTGTTTTGTATATCTATAAGTCAGTTATTTTATAGGCTTTGGAGATTGTAAACAATGAGTTTGAACAATACTTCCAGCAATCAGTAAAACCAAACATTGCCATTACATCAAGCTATCATCCTTATAAAGTTTATTTTTATTTAAATGATAAGGATTCGTATTAATTACTTATATTTCCAGAACAACTTAAAAAATTATGTTTTTTTATTTTTTGAACAAATTGTACATATCTCATTTCATTCTTTCAGAAGCAAATAAAGTTAAAAAAAAATTCTTTTTTGAAGTAATATCTTGATAAAAATAAGACATCTATAAAGGAAATTAATGGCAAGACTCATTTCCAAGATAATAGAAAACGTTTTTTTTTGAAAATATGTCTGATACTCAGATTATGAACTGTCAAAATTCTCTAAGTGCAAAAATATATCTTTTGAAAATAAGCAATTTCTAAACATTAAACCCCATTACAATATAAAATGCATTCCTGCTATCCTCAAAGTGATGATGAGAGTTACTGTTAAAAAAAGGAATATTAATATATTTATTGAATAATCATAATATTATTAATAAGTAATAACATAAAAATTACAATTATATTTATTTAAATTTTTTAAAAAAAGTAATGTCAATGTAACCACATCATTATTTAGGATAACAAGAAATCTAATAACATTATTTGAGTAATCCTTATTATAGCCCAGGATTTAAATTTTTAAATATGATTTCATTGCATTTTGTCAAATAAATTTATATATTTTTAAATTCTTGAAGATTTTTTTCAATAAAAAAAATATAAAGTTTTTTATATTGAAATAAATTTGAGCTGGGTCTGGTGGATGAATAATTTTTATTTCTGGTTTGGACTTTTCGGGACAAAAAAAAAGAATTTGTTTGTGATTGGGCTTAACAGGACATATTTTTTTAAAAAAGAATTGGGACAAGCTGGGCTCAAAAAATTAGGACTGATATGCAGATCACTAATCTTTACACTTCTAGTTTATACAAATAAACATAATACTTTTTTCCATTAATCATATATAAATTTATAAATTTCTTTTAAAAATTGTTTCAGAAAACGAATAAATTTTGCAGAGATTTAGAAACTATTATCCCAAACTCAAAGTATTACATCAGGAAAAAAACTAACTTATCGATACTTCTTCCAAAAGCAATTGAAAAGGGCTTCACTGACCTTGTATTTGTTAATGAAGATAAAAAAATACCAAGTATAATTTTAATATGGTTGCAATATTTTTGACAATATGCCAATTTTTTATGCATAAACATTTTGGAATATTGATCATTACAACTTGCTATAAAAAAATTATTTTAAGGAAGCTTTTAGAATTGGACAATTTAAAATTTGTTCAAAATTGGTTTATAATCCAAAATATAGGCTGATTATGTTTGCTGTTACTAGAGAACTGCACGGGCTGTCCATAGCCTGACCTGGCCTGATCCGAGTCTTGGGCTCAGGTTGGGTTCAGACATTAAAAAAATATTTTTCCAACCCAAAACACAACCCGACCCAAAAAAAATATTAACATAAATATTCTAAATAATCATTATAATTTATGTCAATTATAAAACCATATCATTTTCTATTTATCAAATATTATCTTTAAATTTCAATCTAAATAACATGTCATTTTCAAATATTATTTTATAGTTTAGATAACAACCATATACCAAACTAGGGGTGTACCGATACCACTTATTAGGCCGATCCGATATTAAATTGATATCAGCCAATTACTGGTCCGATATCATATCTAATTTTGTATTCTGTAAAGATAACAATGGTTTTTATTTTTAATATACTTTTTATTAGTATAACATCAATAATTTAACAATACCATAACTTATGTCATTTATATATATTATAATGATCAGTTATAGTTTATATTCAATTCAATTGCAATTCTAAAAGTATATAAAATATTTTTATTGTTAAATCACTTTTATATAATAAGTAGTAACATTAATCTATATACATAATAAGTAATAAGCAAATATATTATGAAATTTGAAATAAATATTTATAATGATTAACATCAATATATCGAAGATTTCTTTTTAGAAATACCAAAATTTCCAATTTATCAGAGGTCAGCTTTGCAGCGATGGTAACTGTCAATATCACCAGCTTCATTAAAAACAGATTCTAAAGAGATTATATCACACTTTTATAAACAGAATGCACAAAAAAATAACAATATGGCAGAATATGATAACCGATATTTTAAAATGGGTGACATATCGGCCCATCCAATAAAATTATCGGTACATCCCTATACCAAACTATTTTATGTGATTATATTTTATTACACTGCATTGCATAGTTAACTATATTATTACATATTTTATTTTCATCATATTCTATCAAATTAAACAAAATATATTTTACTTATCTATTCAATTAAATAGCCTCATATTTTCATATTAAAAAAATTATTTCAATGGATGCCAAATTAAAAAAGTTGATGAAGAGAAGAGCAATGAATATGAAGTAAGGGAAAATGCCAATTGAAAATCTGTGGTCTGGAAAAAGTTTTCATTTATATATGATGAAAACTGAAATTTTTTATTAAATTATTTTAGGCAAAAATTAGCTAGAAGGCATAAAAGCATATTTACAATAGAGAGTAAAAAGAGTCAATTAACAATTGATAACCTTTGCTGATTCCAAAAAACTCAAAAGTTGTGCTAAATTATAAATAAAAGAGTGTACAAAGGTTCTCACCATGTTTTGTGGACGTGATTTGATGCAATTCATGGGGAAGGCTTGATTATTGCCAATATTTTGCCATAATTGGCTCAATATATGGAAATATTGATGTTAAAAGCATCATTCCAAATCTCACGATAATTTCTAGTAATTTAATATATACTGCTGATGGTATAGGCAATAAATTATCTGAAATATAACCCATATATGAAAAAGGGTCGATGTGCTGATAACGAATATATGAAAATATGGTTAAATTATTTATAATTTTTAGATTCGATTGTATTTTAACATTTTTATAATATTTTTTACAAATTAAATTAAATGCAACTTAATATATATCTTGATTAGATTATGGCCATCAAATAAACTTTTCAGGTGGCGATGAATAAATACACATAATTTTTTTTAGTTAGTATAATATTCAAACTCACTAAAAAATTTTTCGGGTCGGGTTGGACTAAAATATGTGTGCTTGGATCGGGCTCAGACAAAAAAGTTTTTTAAATTCGGGCTCAGGCTGCGAATAAATAACTTTGCAGACCTTTAGCCATTACCAACCCTTCCTTATAATATTTTTGATAACATTCATAAGTGTTATTACCATTCCAAGATGGTTATGTATTAAAAAAATCTCACAATCTTTACTAATTACCAGACCATTTAATTATCTGTAAAAGATCGGTGCGGCTCTAAATTTTAATATCACATATTTAGTGTTACATCATCATTATATTATTATAAGTGTAGTTGTTTTTAACATTCTGACAATTGTCATTTTTATCATAAAGTATAAATTACAATCTATTATAGTTATATCTTTTTAAAGCAATATATTTGATCTTTTTTTGAATTATATAGATTTTTAATACTAATTTTAAGAGATAATTAATGATAGGTTTATTTTAAATTACTATTAAGCAACAATTATATTGATAGTCTCCAGAGTTGGGCAGGTCCTCCAGAAAAAGAATCTAGATACAGATTCTTTATAAAAAAATGAATCTTAGATACAGATACTAGTATCTTTTTCAAAATATCAAAAAGATACAAGATAAAAGATACTTGTATCTTTTACTAAATTAGAGTATCTTAAATACAAGATACTTTTAAATTATAAATACTAATTAAATTAGAATAGTTTATAAAATACAGTTTTTATTATTTACTTGTGAAGAACATAGCATACACATATAAGAATGAATATTTGCAATAATTAATAAAATATTTATTAATAAATTAATTATAATAACCAGGGATTTTAATATTAGTTTTTGCCCATTAATAGCTTAAACAGGGAAGGGAGAGTAGTATATTTAATGGGAGTTGAAAATTTGCAAATAAGAAAAAAAAATTAAATCAAATGATTTATTAGAATGTGCAGGTTATTTTCGTGTTGTTTTAAATATAGCTTATCTTTAATAAGTATTTATCATTACTTATTTGTGATTTTTATGTATTATTTAAATTAGTTTATTTTCTAATATGACTTATTAATTCTTGCGTTTGTAATATTATATATATAAATATCATTTAAATCTCTTTTCAAATTTATTTTATATATTTCTTGCAAAATCATTAATTATATATAAAAAATATCATAATAATGTACAACTTTATATTATAATTATTATTAAAAAAATATACATAAAAATGGGTTATTGATTTTATTTATAAAAATAAATGATTTTATATATAATTTTTTTTTAAATTTTATAACATTTTATTTTTGTTAAAGAATCCATTTTATATCCGATCAAATTTTATAATATTGGCGGATAACCGATATTTTAAAATTGGTGAAACCGGCCCGATCCGATCCGATAAAAAAATCGGCACATCCCTAATATATTTTATATATAATTATTTTAGCAAGTTCTTATTAGAGAAAATATTTAAGCTACAATTGATATATAAAAATATTAGATAATTTTAAAAGACTCTTAATAAAATAATTATAATAAGGTAGAATTTAACTTTATTAGTTACTTTTATTTATTTATGATATAAGTAAAATTACATTACAGTATTTATTTACAAAATTAAATCAATTTAAAATGCATTAAAGAAAATTATTATGTTTAATTAATTAATAAATATTCTGCCATATTGTTATTTTTTTTTGCGCATTCTGTTTATAAAGGTGTGCGAGATTCTCTTCAGAATCTGTTTTTAGTGAAGCTGGTGATATTGACAGTTATTATCGCTGCAAGCTGACCTCTGATAAATTGGAAATATTGGTATTTCTAAAAAAAAATCTTCGTTAATATTTATTTCAAATTTCATAATAATTGTTTATTTACTTATTATGTATATAGATTAATGTTATTATTTATTATATAAAAGTGATTTAATAATAAAAATATTTTATATACTTTAAGAATTGCAATTTAATTGAATATAAACTATAACTCATTATAATATATTTAAATGACATAAGTTATGGAGTATATTAAAAATTAAAAGTATTGGTGTCTTTAGAGAATACAAAATTAGATATGATATCGGATCGGTAATCGGCAGATATCAATTTAATATCGGGAATATCGGATCGGCCTCCAAAAAGTGGTATCGACACACTCAAAAAAAATATATATCCAAAATGATTTTAATTTGTAATCAACCATCTTCTATAAAAAATTTTAATAACAATTATCTAAGAGGGACTTAAGTATAGGTATTATTATGTTGATAATTATAAAATAAATATAATTTACTTTAATATGTTTAACAAAGTTTGTAAAGGAGTTTGTTGAACCTTTAATAACTTTTTTACTTGTGCAATTTTGACATTCAGCTTGTACCTTGTTCTTTTTCACATGAATTACTTTATAAAATTTTCCATCTAGAATTTTAAGATTCGGATTTGATTCAGGAGAACCCATCTCCATAATTTCATCTTCACTACTATGATTGTTAAACATTTTACAAATTAAAAAATATTACATATAAAATATATCCTTCTCTTATTTAGTTTTGGTGTTGTTATTTTAATCTATCTATCTTTGTGACCTATAACATTTCCAACTAATTTTGGTCATCAATATATTTAAAATATAGCGGGAAAAAATAAAGAAAATAATACAAGATAGAAAATAAAGTTACATTGTGTGATATGTAAATGTTTTAAACAAGAATATTAAAAAGAATCTGTATCTTTTTAAAGAAAATGAAAAGGATACAAGATTCTTTTCAAAATAAAGGATCTTAGATACAGATACTAGTATCTTATTAAAAATGTCAATAAGATACTGATTACAAGATACAAAAGGATCTTGTATCTTGGATCTTAGATACAATTATTTGCGGTACTGCCCAACTCTGATAGTCTCTCAGAATCATAACATTATAAAAGGTTGAAATATTATTTAGGTTCATTGATGATATGCCATCTACCAAATGGTCCAACAACTTTATACAAAATATTAAATTTCAAGTTATCTTTTGCATTCAAGGTATATAATTTTATTCATTCAGACTATTTTTAGCTTTTAAATTGACTTATATTATCACTTTGATATTAAGTAGATTTTTAGAAAACTAAGGTTTATAAACTTCAAATTTATCAGGCACTAATGATATTTTAATATCATAACATTTCATATAAACTCTAAGTTTTATATCTAATAAGAATTTCATCATACAGCATTTGCCATTATCTTCAAACAGAATTATTATTATGAGAGCACAAAATATGTAAACAACTGTTTTTATATTAAAAAATATCATTACCACTATTTTTACCATTTTTTTAAATAAAATATTCAATGAATCTAAATTTATAGTATAAAGCAATAGGGGTTAGTCAAAACCATTTTATTTATCATTTATTTAATAAAAATCAGCTGTATAAAATATAAAAAATTCAAAATAAATTTATTAGCCTAAAATAATCTTGTTCATCAATGGTATGGCATAAAAATAATCGATATGATCTTAAAAAAATAATTAATATTTATTTAATACTTAAGGATTATATATAAATTATTTAGGGCTGTGCCGATCCACTTATTTTCACAAATCCGATCCGATATTTTCCTATACTGGTTCAAAACCGATCCGATATTTATATTGATTTTTCACTACCCCCATTTGAACCAATTGTAATTAAGAAATCAATATTTTTTATGCAAAAAAATCGAATTATGTATTTAATTAAATTTTTTTTTATTTCCACAATTTAAACTAATTTAAAAAAAATTATATTATAATAGGTAAAAAAAATAATATAATAATGTAAAATAAATATGCATAACATAAAATAACAAAAAAAAAGTAAAAAGATCGGATCGGTTTTTACATGTATCGGCCCGATTCGATATTTTTCTAAATATCGGCGCCGATCCGATAATATCGGCACAGCCCTAATATTTTTGTCTTAATAATTAATTGATGCCATAGCTAAGAAAGAATTTATATATTCCTACAATTAAATAGAAATTTTCTTTTTTTATCATTCGCTTAAAAACATATTTGTAAAAATAAAAAGTAAATATTCATCAATTAAATATGTTCTTCTTTCCAAGTTCCAGCTAATTTTTCACATGCGATTTACATTTTTTATTAATATTTTTTATATCAATTTCATTTTTGTGTTTTCAAAAGTGACACCATATTGGTCTTTTTAGAAAATAGAGTTACTTGTTATCATTCTTTCAAACCTTCATTAACATGATTAAACGTCTTGCCCATAATGTTGAAGAATCAACAGAGCTATCCTAAAGTATTCCTTATTTCCATCTAATTTGACTTTTAAAATGAAGGAATTTACAATATAAGGAGCTCTCTACATCTTTCTGGGCGAGCTGCACGTACTCGTATGCATAACAGTCCAGAGACTGTTATTTAAACGTCTGTAACCTGAGTTTTAGGGAAGGGGACCAAACAGCCTACACTACACCTAATTTCTTTGAGGGGAGGGGGGGGGTTATGGACATTAAGTTAAATTGTAATATAATATATATCCAGTTTGATATTTAATTATGTAAAATAATGAAAACTTTTTATCCATTGTGGTCTAGTCAATGGAAAATATGGTTTGAGGAATTCATTGGTGTTGAAATATCTCCTTTTTATCTTGAGTAGTTTTTTTATTGTTATTTACTATTATGAATTGTTTTATATTTATGTTTAGTTCGTTTACATCTTTTGTTATCTTATACAACCATAACGTTTTGTATTTGCTGTATTGTTTCCCTTTAAACAAGTGTAACTACTTGATTGAATTGTAAACCAAATTTTGGTTGTATTTAAGAATTATATGCACAAGGAATTGAATCCTCTTTTTTAATGTTTTATATTAATAGGAGTTTGATTAGAGATTTCTCATAATTTCGTATTTGATATAATGATACCGTTGATAATTCTTAGACAATTGTTTATAGAGCATTGTAACCTATTAGTTTTATTTATTTCCCATATGTCTTCTCCATAAGTAATATAAAGATATGGAATTGAATGTAAATAATCTAGTTTCCATGTGCATTATATATTTTCATTTTTATTTCATCTTTACGGCTTTCCTACTATCTTTACCTTATTACTATTGTAATATCAATAGTCGGTGCACTAGGTGGGGAAGACGGTTTTATTAAAATCAATGTTTAGGCCAACCATATTTCTTAGGGATTTGAGTATTTTCATCAAATTCTTTGTATCCTCGGTGTTTAGATAACTAAATTGTTAGCTTAAGATATAATTCTGGTATCTAAGTGCCTGATATTATTTGAACCTATTAGGACTAGATTAGCCACAGTGAGTCTCTTTAATCACTATTTATTACCAGATTGATTATCAGTAATGATAGGGTACAACCCTGTTTTACTCCTTTCTTTATTCTGAAAGAGGGGGTATATTATTGTTTATGTTAAAATGAGCATACATGCTATCATAAGGATTTTTCAATATATGTATTAAATTATTATGACTTAGCAGGCGATGGAATGATTCTGATAAACCTTCCTTAAAATGTTTTCAAAATTCCTCTACGGTTCAGTGTTCCACCATATTTAAATAGGCAACTATTTTTAGTGATTGATCGAATTGTTTTTAAACCTCCGGCGTTTGTAAATTTAAGATTTCTCCGTGTTGAATCGTCGATTGTTTTGTTAGAAAACCCCCATATATTTATCACGGTTATCTTTGCTATAAGCCTTTTGTGATCCGATAAGTTTATATTTGTTAATGCTTTAACATCATTGAACTGGTGGATATTGGAGATGAAAAGGTCATTTGGGATTCCTGGCGAGATCTCACGAAAGTAAATGTGTTGATTTTGCGGTGGCCAGAGGTATTTTCGATATTAAAGTTTTATTTCGACAGAAGTCCAGAATTTTCTTGCTATCATCACAGTTTGGTTGTTATAGGGTAGCACTCGATAACATTGCTAATGTATTCAGCTCTTTCGCGATTTTGGTATTTAAGTCTCCTAATATTTTTGTATTGTATCTATTCAGGAGAGTGAATTATATTTATTATTGCATCAATGAAATTAATCTCTCTCTCTGCTTTTGGGTGGGGCGGGCGTAAATCTTTACTATTGTGGGTATTTAAGAAGAGAAATCCACATCTTTCGAGATGGGTGTGAATTTGATTTAAAAAATTTGTATTCGTTTATTTATAAGAAATGCAATACCTAACCAGTTGTTGGAAGTAGTATTCGATTCGAGTTAATTATAATATAATCTTGCAGGTGGCTGTGTTATTCCCTTGAGAATTGAGTTTCCCAGATTCCAATAATGTTTACCCTTTCCGCCGATAACATCATTAGAAAAACAGTTAATTTATTTTTCATTCCATTTATATTCAGGGACGCCATTCAACTTAACTATAAAACTATTATTGAGTTGCAATAGAGGATAATGCTAACCCTTAAAACCAGGAATGCGAACCCGGCAAAATTTTTGCCCGGTTTCGGTTCGGTTTAAGGTATAAAATAAATAGGTGGGTTCGGTTCAGGAAAATATTTTCAAACCCGGGTTTGGTTCTGGTTTCAGCTCAGCTTTAAGAATTTTTGAATTGATAAAAAAAATATATTTAAATCATAATTAAAAAACTAGACATAAATTTGGTAAAAAAAATACATTTTTTATTTTATTTATAGGCAAAATATAGTTAAAAATATTAAAGTTTACAAAAAGTGCCTTACATCTTTGTTTAACAATTTTTAAGTTAAGAATTCTTTAAATTAACAATATCCAATATTATAATTTTTACTTGACTTGTTCACTTACATTTTCCTAAAAATAAATAGCGTAAATGAATTTAATTGTTTAAAATTTATTAACACTCCAATAGGAATCTTTGAGAATAAATTTTAAAAATGGCTTAATGAATTAAGTTGTTTAAAATTTATTAACACTTCACTTTATTGGAAATTTGTAAATATTATAAAATCTCAATTAAATTATTAAAATTTGTAACCTGTGGCTTAAATGATAATCGATTCTATATTTTTAGTTTTATTTGAAAAAAAGGAAAAATATAAATTGGGATGAAAATTTTTATTATATTTTTCACTTGTTCAAATTTTATATTTAAAATATATTTTTTTAATTTTATTATATTACACCTTAAAAAACATTTAATTCATCATAATATTATGTAATACGCTAACTGGTGAGAAAAAATTGGATAATGAAGTAGTGATTTATCTAGCTACAATTTTTAAAAATAAATATAAGAGGTGTTTGAGTTATTATTTTAAAAATCGCTTTTAACTCTTGTGCTATAAATAATAATATTTATTTTTTATTAAAATTTTAATTGATATAATTTCATGTCCTAAAAAAAGAATTAATTTTAGAATGTTGTTTTCCATTTATTACACTTTTTTATATTCTTTTTCTAAAATTTGTTTTTATATCTTTTTAGATGAGTACCTAGATTGTGGGCTGTATTATTTGTAAAATAAAATATAATAAATTTGTCCAATATGAAGATTAAAAGCTATTTCATTTAAAATATAAAGGTGATATGGCTATGATTAGCTTTAGGATTATCAAATTGGACAGGTGCTTAGGTTGATATTAAAATTCATATCACATATTGAATAAAATAATTTTTTAATTTAAATGAAATCTAATTCTTATTTTTATATTGTAGAAAAATAGTCGGAAATACCCAGAACAACCGGAGGTAGTTTTGAACAATTTTACGACAACGCTCGGCCATACTATAGGCAAAATGTTTGCCGTGTTATTCCCCCAAACGCCGGATTTTGTTCATAGAAGGCTCGTCACATTTCATAACCAAAGAGATTATATCTTTTTTCGACACCACAGGTATCTTTTTATAATTAATCGGAATTTATCTCCTTAAGGCCCGAATTCACTCTCTCCCCGAAATCTGATCAGATTGGACCACATATGGACCCTCATAGTCGCCTGATTATAATAGGGTTTTAATTATAGATGTGCCAGAATTGAATTCTATATCGGACTCGCTGAATCCTTAAAACTGAGCCAGACGATTCTTTGACCTTAATGTCAAATCACTCATATCCCACCCCTTTTGATTTCAATAAAAATTTATGTGAAGGTTATGTTATAAAAATCATATTTCCTGAATTAATTGATTTTACAAAAAAATCTGGCTAATAAATTGAAAGTAGGACTATTTTTAAATGATTTTGTAACCAAGGATCGACGTTTGAATATTATAAAAATATTAATATTTATATCTTTCTAAATACATTAATAACCCAAAATTTGGTGGTCATACTAAAATAATTATTTTTATTTACCAAAATCGAAAGAGTAAAAAATCAGTTATAATAGAAAATATTAACGATATGAGCTTCGGATATTGTAGGTTGTATTCCATTTCGAATCAATAATTTAGTCAAATCGTCATCAAAAGCCCATTACGGCGTTCAAAATATTTGAACAGCTTTTAAATCTTAGGATAAATTATAAAAATTTATTGATGATATTAGTTAACCTACCTATCACAAGTACAAATGAGGGGTCATTTTTTACATTCAAAAAATTAAATGAAAAATAACCTAAAATCCACTTCTACCCAATCAAGAATTAATGGCCTATCCTTATAAATATATTCCGAGATATCATTCTCAACTATGAAGATGTTTTATAAGAAATGGCTAAAGGTCCTATGAGAATTTTAACAAATGGGATAATTCATATCACAGTATAATTCATACAACATTCATTATACAAACAATCATTCATAAGGCAGGATATAAAATATTATAATTATGATTCTAATAATAATGTTAGACAGTTACGACATATACATATTATATTTATAAACATTAAAAACATGTCTAAATAACGAATATACTAATTCATAATATATAAATAATATATCATATATTCATAAATATAATTTCTACATTACTAAAAGAATTATATTGAAAATTCTAAACTTTTAATCTTTTTTTACCCAGTATATATTTTTTTATTTATTTTTATATGCAATACTTTTTTGATTTAATTCTATTCTTTATGCCATGTATATTTTACGCTATGCAATTTATATTTTTTTGTAATTCTCAGTATTACTCCTTACCAGTAAAGTCACATTATTATAATTAATACAATAAAAAAAATTCCGAGATTTTACAAAAAAACATATCGAGTGATATATTAGAACAATTTCCCAGCCAAGCTATTATAAAAATCGGGGTGATTTAAATCGAATGATTTTTATTTGCTAACTATAAAATAAACTGAATAAAAAAATATAGAGATCGGTTTACTTAGATACCTAACAATGACAGATTATTTTAGAATTTAATAATTTGTATGAAAAATACTAATGGTACTAGTAATCATAACTAATGTTGCGTAATGAGCTAATTTTAGCCTATATAAAAAGGCTTTGCCGAGATTTTAGGTGAAAAAATCGGCTATACCTAATTAGGCTTAGCCTAAAAATCGGCTAAACTAAATTAGTAGAAAATTATGCATCCGCTAATCGTCCGTCAGCGTTCCTTAAGATATGCCTAGTATTAATTATTATTTATTTTTAGTAAAATAATTTATTTATTTATAATTAATGTTAAATTTTATTATTATCAATAAATAAACTATATTTAATATTTTTTATTTAAATTATTATATTATATTATGAAATGAAAATATATTTATTAATTTTGTTTTTTTAATATTAAAAAATGATATGCTGTTATTGTCATATTATTTTTACAATTTATTAGTGATTTTCACGCCCAAAATTTTAAGCAAAAAATATTTTTTGAAATTCAAAAGGATTTTTGAACATATTTTGATTTGATGAATTTTAAATCTTCTTTGTAAATAAATCTTTTTTGAGGAATTCTTTTGTGAATTTTATTATAAATTTTAATGATACACTTTTAATGTGACAATTGTCATATTCATTATTTTTTAGGATTTTTGAAATTTTTTGACATAAAAGGATAAAAATATAATTTATATTGTAAAGATGTTAAATAATAAATTCAATGAAGATGTTCCTTGGAAAAATGACAATTATCATAATTGGTATTTTTAAACATATTAAATTTTTTGACGCTAATGGCCAGATTATATGTATTTTTAACATGTTAAATTAAAATTTCAATTAAGATATACCATATAAAAGTGACAATTGCCATAATCGTTATTTCTAAAGTTTTTTGAATTTTTTTGACGCAAATGGGTAAAAATATATATATTGTAAACATGTTAAATTAAAATTTCATGAAGATGTACCATAGAAAAGTGACTCATAATCATTATTTTAAGAGTTTTTTAAATTTTTTTGATGTACATGGGAAAAAATATAGATTGTTTACATGTTAAATTGAAAACTTTAGTGATGATGTACCATAGATAAGTGACAATTATCATAATCGTTATTTTTAGAGTTTTTTAAATTTTTTTTAACGCAAATGGGCTAAAATAAGTATCTAACATGTTTAAATAAAACTTCAGTGAAGATGTACCCTAGATAAATGACAATTGTCATTTGAATTTTTTTGACGCAAATGGGTAAAAATATAGATTGTAAACATGTTAAATTATAAATTTAGTGATGATATACCATAGAGAAGTGACAATTCTCATAATCGATATTATTAAAGTTTTTAAAATTTTTATGACGTAAATGGGCTAAAATAATTATTGTTAACATAAAACTTCATTAAAGATATACCCTAAATAAGTGACAATTCTCATAATCGTTATTTTTAAACATTTCCAATATTTTTTTAGAAATCATTTAAAAAAGGTATTGTTTTAAATTTTATTGAAATAATTCAGAAAAGTGCCAATTATCACAATCTTCGTTTTTTAACCTTCTTATTTTTTTGAGAAAGGTGTTGGTACCATTTGGCAAAACAAGAAAACAAATGTAAATTTTCATGCTCATAATGGTCCCTTTTATCCAGCTTAAAATTTGATAAAAATATGCAAAGTGATTACTAAAGAGGGTTGTAACTCATGTTAAATTCTAAACTTTTATGATATGGATTCACAATCTTATACCTTTAATTAATTAATTTAATTCCACATCTATTAAAATGTAAAACCCTACATTCACAGTTAGCCAAAATTTTATATACTCACAGAGAAATCGTTCTGAGTCTTAATTCAGGATAAGATTTTTATGAAAAGAACTTAAAACCCTTATAAATATTATTTATCAATATGATACAATCAACATCTTTATCTTAAGATTTTGAATTTTATAAACATAGGGTAAAAATAGATTTCAATCTATATTTTATAACCCATTTGTATCAAAAAAACTTTAAAAATAACAATAAGACAATTGTTTAGGGTACATCTTCACTAAACTTTTATTTAAACATGTTATCAATACTTATTTTAATCCATTTTCGTCAAAAAAGATCAATAAACTTTAGGAATAACAATTATGACAATTGTCACTTTTCTATGGTACATATTCATGAAATTTTAATTTAACATATATTTTTACTTATTTGCGTCAAAAACCTTTAAAAATAATGATTATGATAATTGTCATTTATCTGGGGTGCATCCTTATTGAAGTTTTATTTAAACTTGATAGAAATACTTTTTAGCCCATTTACGTCAAAAAACTTTAAAAATACATATTTTGGCCCATTAGCGTCAAAAAAATCTAATATGTTTAAAAATACCGAATATGATAATTATCATTCTTCCAAACATCTTCATTCATCTTTACAATATAAATTATATTTTTACCCTTTTGTGTCAAAAAAATCTTAAAAAATAAATATGACAATTGTCACATTTAAATATTATCATAAAAGAGATCATATAAAATAACATAAAAAAATATTTAGAAAAAACCACCTCTTTTAATATACTTAAAAAATAGATAATTTTACAAAAATGTTAAATAAAAATTATAAGAGATTTCACCTAATAAGATTGTTTATTTAAAATAAAATTCACAAAAGAATTCCTCGAAAAAGATTTATTTAGAAGATTTAAAATACTTATCAAATCAAAATATGCAAAAATCTTTTTGTTCAAAAAATATTTTTTACTTAAAATTTTGAGCATGAAAATCACCATGTAACAAAAATAATATTTACAATAGGCGCATATCATTTTTTTTTATTAAAAAACATTAGTGTTGTAAATGAACGCGTTCGTGAACGAAGTTCGTTTTTTTGAAAAAAAATGATGAACGGCGTTCCTTTTATTTTTGACGAACTTAGAACGTGAACGCGTTCCTTTTTTATGACGAACGCGTTCAATATTTGAAAAATTTAATATTTCCGAATTATTTAAAAAAATGTATTATTTATATTTTTTAATTATTTCTTTTTCAATTTTTTTAACACATAGTTTATTAATTTGAATATTATTGTATATATTTTAATTTAATAGATTAGCATAAGCATGGATATTATTATTTAATCCTCATCATCTGATTCTGAAAATCCAAAATCAGATTAACTGCCAAGTGTTCCTATCTATCAGATAAATATTTTGAAAACAATTGTTATTAAAATTCAATAAGAAAAATTTTTATAAATAAAAATATCTTTTTATTCGCTATATTATATTATATTATCAAAATAAAACTATATTATTTTTTAATATTAAAAAATATAAGTTTTTATAAATTAAATTTAAAAAAAATTTATCATAAAATTTTGAACGGTTTTATGAACGTGAACGTGTTCCTTTTTTTGAACATGAACTTAAACGTGAACGCGTTCGATTCTTGTTAATGAACGTTGAACGCGTTCGATTTTTTTGGAAATGTTTACAGCACTAAAAAAGATCATATAAATAAAATAAATTATTTTACTAAAAATAAATAATTAATGCTAGGCATATCTTACGGAATGCTGACGGACGATTAGCCGATGCATAATTTTCGACTAATTTAGCAATAGCCTTATAGCTAAGCTTAATTAGGCTTAGGCGTAGTTTTTAACCGATTACCCAACACTAATCATTACTTAATAGATAAAAAAATTCTTGATTTATTTTGTATTTCATTGTTTCAATTTTTGGCATGATTGTTAATTGTATTAAAGGGATATCAATGTAGTGGAAAATTATTTAATATTCTATAAAAAAAATATATTAGCTTGTTAGAATCAGGGTTATGAACTAGTTATCTGCATCTACCCTAATTTGACAAAATGTAATATCATATTTAAAAATTTAAGCCTAAAATTTTTTTTTTTAATAGGCCCGGCCCAAAACCCGTTTGGAACGAGCTGTGAAATTTTAGAATAATGCAATACAATTTAAAAAATGATATCTTTTTTTTTAATTTTATAAGAGAATTATGATATTTTCCAAAATTTAGATATTAAAATGAAAAGATCGATTTTTTATGCCTAACTTTGACAGTGCTTTCTAACTTTTTGTGTACTCGACATTGTTATTTGAATTTAATCGTTTAAAATAAATATATATATTATAAGCATCGAAGGCTCTAAAAAGAGCTTAATTTAATAATGAATATGTACCAAAAAAACAAGCATAATTGTGTTTAAAAATTTCTAGTTAAAGTTTTTGTTTAAGAATAGAATACCTTAAAAATCCCAATAATTCTAATGAAAGTTTCAGTAATACCTGCAACAAAATATCCAAAAAAATAAATGGAGGCAACATATGCGGTGTACAAAAATTAATCTCTTCACAAACAAAACTCGCCCCATCTAACGACGTGACACTTGATAACTTAATCCTTTCATCCACATGCCTCTTATACTAGCTTACCAAACCCACCGCTCAATATCCTTCCTTTCATAATTACAAATCAAGATATTCGCGAAACAATAAGCGAATTTAATAAATTTTCAGCAGCAGGCCAGGATGGCTATAGACCATCTTACTTCTAAACATTTCTAAAATCTCATAATTCCAACAATTTTTTTAACTCACTTACCACCTTCCTTAATAATATAACTACTAAAGATATTCCCACATTAGCTCATCAAATTATATTTGGGGCTAACTTGATTGCTTTTGAAAAACCTAATGGAGGCATCCGCCCAATCGTAATAGGTTCATTTTTCAGACGCCTGATAACTAAAATTAATGCCAAAAAAATAAAATCCGATCCCTGCTTGCCAAATACCAATTAGGATGCGGAAATAAAGGAGGCGTATATATAGCCTCTAACAACCTATGAATCTACCTTCAACATCCACCGATAAGCTCCGTTTTATGCAAAATCGATTTTTAAAATGCTTTCAATACAATATCACGTTCCTCGCACTTGAATCTTTTTACGACAATTTCCCTCATTACTCGCGCTTCGTAGACATCTGCTATAACAATAGCACTCCCTTTATTTCTAATGGTAGCGTTATATATTCCGAAGAGGGAGTACAAGAGGGCGACCCCCTCGGCCCTATTCTTTTCTGCTTAGCTATAAGACAATATGATGAAAGATCTTAAATATGATTTTGATCTAGACCTTAACCTATGGTGCCTAGATGATGGCACCCTTTGTGGTAATTCACATCAAATTAGCAAAGCCCTTAACCACCTCAAAAGAGAATGCTCTAAAATTGGTTTAGAATTAAACAAAACTAAAACTGAAATATGCTTCCTCAACCTTGATATTCCCTTAGATTTATTTAAAGGTTACACTATTATCGAAAAAGAAGAGATCCAGCTCTTGGGCTCCCCATTACTTAATAATAATAATATATCCTAAAAAATTATCGATGAAACCTTTTCTGAGATGCAAAACTTGGAAAAGTTCATCAACCACATTCCATCGCACCAGCTTTTTTACTTATTAAAAAAGTGTTTATATCTTCCTAAAGTCTCACATCTCTTCCATTCATCCTCCTCATTCACCTACTCAAAATTTTTCATTCAACACAATATTCGCCTAAAGACCTTTATATAAAGGATTCTCAACCTTTCATTATCAGACTTTAATTGGCACCTAGCCCAATTACCCTTTGTTTTTTAGGTACATATTCATTATTAAATTAAGCTCTTTTTAGAGCCTTAATATATATATTTACTTAGTAATTTTACATTTTTTTATATACATGTTTTAATATTTTAGTGTTTTATCATTTTTTTAAATAAATAAAAAGTATCTTATAAAAAAAATCGTTTAAAAAAACTTTCCTAAACGTGGAATGGAATACACTCCATATGATAAAATTTATACTGAAGCTGTTGATTGTTTTTTTATATGACCTTTATTTTAAATATTTTTTTAATAATAAAAAAAAACTTATAAATTTATTTTGACACCTATTATTTTAGGAAATATAAGCTAAAATTGACATAGTTTTGGTAAAATATAGGCTATCTATTAACTGTCTTAAAATTAAAATAAAAAACCTGCCAGGTTTTTTTTAAAATATAGACAATATTTTGAACTCGCAATTTTTAATCAGAAGTGGAGTTAGAATCCGTAACTTTAAAAAAAAAATTATTATCTAAAATTTTATGTAATTATATTTTATTTTCAAATTATGGCGGTTAATTAAGCAAACTTATCTGTCATCTATTTATATTTAAAAATATAACCAACAAGGATAACAATTTTACAAATATTTTTTAAAGATATCAATTTAAAAATGGCGAAAAAGTTGCTTTGCAGGAGTTAGGCCCGAGATTTACTTTGCGACTCCAATTTCTACAACGCGGTTTATTTGATCCTAATCACGGCGATTACGAATGGTCGCTCAAAGTATTTTTTTTCAAACTACATATCTAGATTGTCAAATTTGTCATTATATATTGCAGATTTTTGGAGAAACATATTTTTAAAAAATAACTAATCCTTAAAATATATCTTTATAATCAATACATTTTTTTACTTTTAATGATCTAATATTAGTATTAATTCATTCATAAATTAATTTTTTTATGCGCCATTCTGATAAAAGTCGGTCAATTTAAAAATTTTATAGTCTATTTGTATAATACTTTTTTTATAATCATAGCGTCATCAAATGGAAAAGAGTCGGAGAAAGTTCTATTTGTAAAGATTTATGGACCCATTTTTTTTGATTATGTTAATGGAATCCTACTTGAAGCTTCATTAAAATCAATTCGAAATTTTTTTATTATATAGTAAAATTTATATTACATTTAAAAGAATTATAAATAAAAACGAATAATATAACATGCATACACGATGTAGATTTATTTTTATATACATTACTAAAAAAAATAAATATCAATATTCTATATAATTAGGGTTTAAATAAATTAGTCACTGATTTCATCTTCAGAGTCTTCGTCAGGATAATCGACCAAGCTAGGTAATGAAGTCTATATTTTTTTAAAAAAAGGTGGATTCATTAAGAAAAATTAGCTTGACTCTTTTTAAAAAATAAAATTAATAATAAAAGCATGATATTTTACCTATTTATAAATAAGCAAAAACAAAATCATAGGACTTATTACCCCATAATCTTAATTTACATTATTCCATCGGAAAATTTAAACAACGATATCCCATAATCGCGTTTTTTTGGTTGATTTGTAATGAAGTGGATGAAGAATATTTTTACCATTTTAAAAGTATAAAATTTTATTTATATATTAAAAACCATATGAAAAACGATTAGTTTTAATTCTAACAAACCTTTATAAATCAAAGTAAAATAAATATATTGTCATATGGCGAAAATTTTTAATCAAAAAAGAATAAAATCTTATGAAAAACAGTTATAAACCTTTATAATATTGAAGCAAAATTAAGATATAGTTATAGCGAGAAATTTTGGTATTGGTAAAAAAAATAAATATTTATTGGAAAATTGATATGAGATTAAAAATTTACGAATATATCGATTTTTTAATTTCTTTCTTTACATTTCATGATAATCATATGTTTGAAATAAATAAAATTTTCGTATTGTTTACACAAATAAGTAATTATTATTTCATTTGAATAATTTTTAAGATTTTAAAGGAGTTATTTGCTAATGGAATAATATGACTTATTAAGATCATTCTCCTGTGATTACAAAAAGTGTATATGAAATGATTCAACGATATAAAAAATTTATACAAAAAGATTAAATGTGTTTCATCGTATGTCTTTTATTTTCTGATAAAAAATAGTCCAGATTTTAAAATTTTTTAGGCCCAACACAGATTTAAATAAATTTTTTATTTTCAAGATTAGCCCGGAAGGGTCGAATATAGAGCCAGCAGTCATGGCCCTAGCCACGGGGAGCATATCCCCCCTTCGATAAATTTGGTTCCCAAACCTGGCCCCTCAAATTTTTTATGGCCTTCAAATATTAAAAAATATTGGTTATTAAATTTTAATTCGCCATTAATAAGTATAAATGATAAAACAAAATTCTTAAAATTTTTTAGCCAAATTAATTGGATAAACAAGCAAATACTTATTAATACATTCTAGTTAATGTGAACATCAATTACAACAAAATATAGTAAAAATAATACTCTAAAATCAAAATAAAAACTAAGTTACAATATAAAAAGTAATCATACAATATTCAAAAATAAGAGAATACAAAGGCAAATGAGCTCAAAAATTAAATTGGTAAAACATGTAGTTTGATAACGAACTATTTGCATAATAGCTAATGTATCTTAAATTTAATATAAATTTTTTAAAACATATTTTGGTATCTAAATAATTAAATCCAATCTCCGTAATAAAAAAAATTACCTTATTGGTAATATCGTCGATATTTGTGACGATAGGCGAGGTAACGATTTTAGACAAAACAGTCTTATTTACAACGAATGGTGGCCTATTAGTTAATTTAGAGTTGGTCCCCACGATGCTCGATTTTTTGATAGGCAAATTAGATTCTGAGATGATGGAATCGATTTCAATACAACTATTACTATTTTTGGACGATGTATTATTGAGGGAAAATGAGACGATCGGTAAACTGGAAGGGGTAGAAACGAATATTGGATTATTAGATGTGGTTGTTTCAACAATAGAGGAAAATGAATTTTTGAACAACGATTGGCCCGCAAGATTTTGAGTAGTTTGGATTTCGGATTTAGCTGTTATTTTAAGATGGAGGGTGACGCGGGATGAAAATGTTTGTGGAGGTTTTGAAATTTTTGTTAAGCTCAGCAGGGAATCTGTAAAAATTAAAAATTGTTTTTTGCAATATATTTAATGAAACTAAATTTATAAGTAATGTAAAGATATTTTAGGATTTATCTCCTAATCAATAGAAATTCAACCCTGTTTTCACTATTTATAAAATTCTGTAGCTTTAGGTATATGCAATGTCATTAAAAGTAAAAATATATTAAGTCTACCATTGAAAGGCATTTTGATAAAATGTATTTCAATGGGGCGTGCTACAGCCAATAAAATCATTTTAGCTTCATCAGCATTTATTTATAGATACATTTTAATAAAATTTTATTTTACATTTTTTTTATACTATATTTTAATTAATTCTATTTTTATATAAGTTTAATTTTACACAATGGATGATGAAAATATGGTGTTTTAATAATAATCTTTTATATATATAAATTTTCAAACTTGGTTTTAAATGCCAGAAAGAAAAAAAAAGAATTGACATAGATTAGTTCAATTTATAAATTTGAAGGTTTCATAATCGCCGAAAAAAATTATTATTATATACAATGATTTAAATTTTACAGGGCGACAGTTCTACTTCTATGATGAAAACTATGAGAATATCAAGCTAATAATATTATATTTCATCTATAAATAAAACATCAAACGTAATAAATAATTTCCATTTTACAATTTGGGTTTTAACAATTTATTAATTTTGTCTGCACATTTAAAAAAATATCTTGAAAATAGCTAGATATTTTTTTAGACCATATATGAAGTCTTATAGCAACTCTATATGTACACGTTTAATAAATTAATCGTCAGTTTAAATTAATTATGAAATTGAGTGATGTCGAGTTAGAAGGTTCGAATCGAATGATTAATATTACAAAATAAATATTTTACTTGAAAGGAAATATGTGTTAAATTACATGAAGAATATTATTTTTTAAGTGTTTTCAAAAGTAAAATAATGGATTATTTAATTTTATAAAAAAATTAACAATAAGTTATGTAAATAGAAACCTGGTTTTACAAGAAAATAGCTATACCTTTTTTTAGGGTTTCTAATTCATTCTTCTTTTCTATATCTCCTAATTCATTCGCATCACTTATATCATTCTCTTCTTCCTCGTTGTCATCACCGTCAAACCAGCTTTCTTCTCTTTTCCTTTCAACCTCTTCATCCTCTACATCTTCATCTATTATCTCATCAGGCCCTTCTAGAATTAAGTATCGTAAAAATAATTTTAATTTTTTTTATTTGATTAATAAACTTTAAAAAATGTTATATAAAATATAAAGACCGATAATTTTTTTTATTAAAAACACCTTCGATATCTTCATCAGTGGTATCGTCCTCCTCGTCCGTGGCTTCATCTACGCCATCTTGAGGTGCTATCCGAGAAGAGGAGGTGGAGGAAGTTACCGAGGTGGATGGAGATATATGCCGATGACGTATAATTTTGGAATTAGGAGAGGCTGTCACGGGTTGAGACATATTGTGGCGTGGGATAGTGGATGAGGCGCTTTTTTTAAATTATAAGTATATGTTTTTTAATAGTCAAATTGTTTTGAAATTATCTTATGCAATAAATTACAAAATTGGGCATTTATGATTAGAGTCTAAAAAAAATCAATAATCATTTTTTTTAAATAAAATGAAACATATTTTATAATATATGCTATTAAAGAAAATAACTCCAGAGAAAAAGTTATTAATTAAGTATACATTCATTATTATAAACATCTGCCTGTAAAAAATAATTTGAAGAAACTATTGCTGAAGCAAATATGACAAAAAAGTATATAAAAAATAATTGATAATAAAAAAAAAACAAAAAGCAAACTGATTCAAATTGTGATTTTTATTCAAAAATGATCGAATTTGATTTAATTGTACCCCAATCCTATTCACGATTATATATAATAATTTTCTTAAATTGCATATAGATTATTTCAAATGTAATTCTAAAAATAAAAGTAGATGTTTTATATTTGTATATTAAAAACTCAAAGAGTGGATACACCCACCTTTGTACATTCATTCAGATTAAGTGATATTTTGTAAACAATCAAAAAAATTGGCAATTGATGGTTTAATTAAATAGATCACAAATTAGATTCCTTCAACTTATTCATATCGTATTAATTACTATATCGAATTCAGCTCTTATATTTATCACAAAGAGCAAAATATTAAAAATGGTAGGATCCTTTTTTTAATAAAAGACATAGTTTTTCAAAGTCACTGTCTTTGAAAAAAATGATGTAACAAAAAATATATATTTAAGTAAAAATCGAATTTAAATAAATATTATGATTATATTCGTTAATAAATAAAAATCAAATATTTATTTTCAGGAACGAAAGCCAGAACAGAAAACTCAAAATGTTTTTTCCTAAGTTCTTAGTTTTATTAGACCTCACCATAATTTAAATATTATTCATTTATTAATTATTTTTTCAATTGGGAAGAATTATGTCCCAGTTTTTAATATCACTTTTAAATAAAAAATGGCGGCGTTTACTTATAACTCAATGCATTTCCGGGAAGTCCATTTCGACAAAAATTATTGGAAGATGCATCGGTGTGTTGATCGCAACGAGTTTTTAATTTTTTAAAAACATCACTATATGTTATTTTTGCGAAATATTTGTCGTAGTAATTTTCAACCACGTGAATAAGAAGGGTTTTAAGATCCTCCTATAATATAATACAAGTATTTTGTTTTATTATAATAAATCATATAAGAATATAACAAGTAATTGACATTATTGTCAAACAAAAACAATTCTTAAATGACCTATAAAATAATTCCTCAATATTTAAATTTCCAAAGTAGCATTTGATTTTTCTCAAAAAATTAAACCATGTAAATGTATTCGAATAATTCAAGTGTAGCAGAATTGAGTAAATTATATCTGGTTCCGTTCTTCTCAAATGCGTCGACTATGGGTTTAAACAAGTAGCCCCTAGCTATGTACCTGTTGTAAAAATCGTCCTTTAGATTGATTATATTTCGCATCAACCTTAAAGCGCCTTTTTAATAAATAAAAGAATATAGTGGTATATAAAATGATATGGAGTAAAAAACATCATTTGGGTTAGTATTAGTATTGGGTGAAAAAATAATATGACATCAAGACAATTCTTCGCAGAAGTAATTTAGCCCATTTTACCCTAAAATTTTTTTTAAAAAATAACAGGAATAAAAATTTTGTAATTAAAAAAGTAATTTTTATTTTCATTACCTATTCCATAAGATTCATGTAAATATTTTAATACCAAATAATTATCTAGTTGTAAGTTTTTGATTCCACCAAAGTATATTCTTGATTTTATTGGGGTAGATTAATTTTAAAAAAAAATATAGAAAATGGGACATTATCAAAATGATAAATACTATACATGCATCTTATTTTTATTTTTGTTAAGAAGAATTTGTTATTTAACAAGATTGCCCAGTGAAATCAAGAACGCTAAAGCAGATATATGGGTTAGTTTAGTTCATATTAAAAAAAATAAATTATTTTCAGTGGGGCGATTATATTTTTGTAAAACATCATATGAAATTTTATGAAGTAGGTAAAAAAAATATTTTTTATTACAAAGTTTATATTTTAAAGAGTTCTTTAAAATAAAGTGCCGAAATTCCGCGCTGAATTTATAATCGAGATACAGGTGATACCCTAACTTCGCGACTAAGCCAATGGATAGTTGTAAAAACCGTGAGGTGTATACATTTTTCTATATATATGCAAATTTTGCTTGTCGTGAGCTGATACAGCACGAAGTTTAATAAATCAATTAATAAATAAGGTTTCTCTATTCAAAATGAAATTAGCTTATAATACTAATTCTTAATTTATGAAATTTATCTTTATCAATATGATAAAGTTGCCGTTAGTTATATCTATTATCTAGATTTCAAAGAATATACCAAGGATGTGAACCCGGACCCTAAACCCCCGTATTTTGTTTGTACCCGAACCTGGACCCTTTTTAAAAGTGGAGGGTCCAAGGGTGCGATGTGCATAAAAAAAATTTAAAAAATAATATAAAATTTTAAAAAACAATATAAAATTTTAAAAAACAGTATAAATTTTTTTTAAAAAACAATATAAAATTTTTTTAAAACACAATATAAATTTTTTTCCGCGGAATCATTTATTTTATCTTCGCGTTTTTCTTTCAGTTTTCTTCCTGGACTTCCATTTTATTTAGAGATTGATATCATAAATTATTTTCTAGTGTAGGTAATAATAATTTATTATGTAAATTTATTAATAGATTTCCCCACAAATATATATTGGATCTAATGTGCAGCCAATACTCTACAATTGGCTATTAATGACTGCCTAAAAAGTAACCACTTTAAAACTACACTTATTTAAAAACTCCCACAATTGCAAGAATATTAAAATCAATGAAAAGGTCACTTTGATCCTCAATTTGTATGATGCTAGAACGATTATTAAGTTTGAAAGATTTCTGTAATGATTTTATTATAGGAGCATGTGAAGTTATTTTGTCGGAAGATGATTGGTCCCAAATAAAGGACCTTATTAGTGTATTAGTTCCTTTAAAAATAACAACATTAAGATTACGATCAAAACAATTGTTTATCTGATTTTTATGGCATATGGATTAGATGTCGATTAGATTTAGAAAAATTAACTTAGTCTTTTTTCATAAGAAATATTAGATAGAAAGATTAACTTAGTCCTTTTTCATATGAAATATTAGAAAACATGAAAATTCGAGCAACAATATTTGCAAAATAGTGTTGTATATGCTTCTGTATATTTAGACACTCGATATCAAGTTTTCTTGAGTATTGAGCAAAAACAAATGGCTAAAGCCCATCTTAAGGAATTATGGCATACGCAAAACTCCATTATTTACAACATAGGCTACGACAATAATACCTACTGGTTGTAGTGATAATAATTATAATGAGAGCAACATTGATGATCTATAAATTTTACTTTTAGATAGAGAAAAAAAAATCAAATTATCATCAGATAGAAAGGAGGATCAAAAAATGCCTATTGCATCTTTAATAGAAAAGTTCTCAGAAGTTAAGAGAATAAATAAGGATACAAATATTTTAAAATTCTGGAAAAAAAATTCTTCAATATATCCAGAATTATATATCTTGTCTAGAATCGTCATGGCTGTACCGGCGACACAAGTACAATAAGATAACTAACTATTTTAGGTAAGCGTAGAAGGTGGATTTTCATCTTTGAAATATATATTGTTAATTTACGTGGAAATCTCAAGGATGATATTTTAGAAGATATTATGATTGTGCGATTGAATAAAACATTTAAAATATAAATTATATCAGTTTTAAATTTTTTATTTGTAAATTATGAATGTGTATATATATATTGAAGTATAATAATAAATGAATGGAAAAAAGTCTTATTTTGAGTCATTTATTTATGTTCCCTGAACCCGGGCCCTTTTTAAATTTTATTACTGTACCCGAACCCGGAGCCTTTTTTGTCGAAGGGTTCACATCCCTGGAATATACACTATCTTGATCTTGAATTGAGAATGATAAATTATAATTATTTTATATTAAAGATAAAAATTCGAGTGACTCTTATATTCCAATTTTCTAGAGCTAAAAAAAAGAGAAGATAACAAAATCGAAAATTTTTAATAAAAATCAAAAAATATTCTTTTAAAAATTTGTAATTTAATCAAGAAATATTTTAATGCATAAAAATAAGATTTAAAATTGATCAAAAATCCTGTTTGAACATTCTCAAATATTCAGAGAACAAAAATATTTGAAGATTTCTATTTTGAAGATAATTTTATACTCTATGTTAGCGCGAATTCACAATAACTAATTTAGTTATATTCATCATAACGATAATTTCTCAACTTATGAAATGTTCAAATGGATTTTTGTAATTGGATCAAATCAGGTATATTTTAAATTAAACGAGCATCTGAAGTAGGGAGTAGGATTAAAGAAATATGAATTAGGGTTAATTTAGATTTATCAAAAATGAGTTTTAATAAAATTAAATCATTTTTTATTAATAACTTGATAAATTGTCTAGTTATGTGATTATAAATAGACGAATAGAAATTTAAATTAATTAGCTGCTGTAATAATTTCCTTGAATTTGGACCGAAATCATAATAACCAAAATGTGTTTATGGATCAAAATTTTTGAAATTACAAAGAGTTCTAGTTAAGTTTAATGGGATATAGACATTTTTTCCGTAATTTTTACTTCATTTGATCAATCAAAACATTCAATAGGTATGTGTCAAAAAAATTGTTTTTTTTTAAATTTTTTTTACATAGGATTAAGAAGTGATGTTTCGATTTCGTGAGTACTAAGGCCCTCCTCAGCAAATCTTTGTTTATGAAATAATTTTTGGAATGAAAGGTATGATGCGACACGTAAAACGAGAGAATTTCGATTATGATACTAAGTAAATGAGCCGTGCGGTAGTCGTCTGTGAAAAAATAAATAATTAATTTGTTTATTTTTTTAAAAAAATATTTGAATTTACAAATTAAATTGCTTATTATGCTTTCAATAATATTAGATTCCTTAAAACAAATTGAACTTAGTAATAATCTTTTAAATCCATTTCATAATCTGGCAGGAGTTTTTATTTTAAATTGATATATTCTTAAAAATGCATCTTATATTATATGATTATAGAGGCAACTTTGAATTTATCAATGAAAATTATTCTATATTAAAATCAATCAGTGATATAGCATATCGTTGCTTGCTTTTTATAACTTTAACTCTATCTTTAGTTGATGTTAATATGAAAATATTATTTTTGGGGGTTGAAGATAATAAAACATACGCCCAAGGACGCAATCCCGTCCAATATTAGCGTCCGCAGGACGCATACTCACCAAGTATGACGTTTGAGGCCCCTTCCAACCCAAATATTATTAATCAGTATTTGGAGTGGTTTCCATCACTATGTTTTTTAACTTCAGAAAGATTAATGTAAGAAGGATTTAATAATCAAGCTGAATTTAAGTTTAATAAATAAATAAAACCTTTGTTAGGCGCCATATCAGTAGTATTGGCGAGTAGAGGGGCTATCAAGATGTGCATATTGTGCTTGTAGAAAAAACTTAAAAATTCGTTCTTTTCGCTTTTCTATAATTTATAAATTTATTATTCGGAAAGAAAGGTAAAATAAGTTTCATCAAAAAAAATTGTTTTTGAAATATTTTTTATTTTACATTTACAGTTGTAGTCATGTTATCTGGATCCGCTATAGTCTTAAGTATCAGCGATATTTGCATAGCATTCCCAAGTTCTAAAATAAATTGAATTAGAAAACTTGCATTTGTTAGATAAGTTGTTACTTTATATACCCCCCCCCCTCCGATTAGATTTTAAAAAAAAAAAATTTCTCTTAAATACAATACATGATAAGAACTTAGAAAATGGAGTAAGATCTATTGAGCATTTATGAAAACTTCTGATTAGTGGTGTATTGGCAAATGAGTCATATTTAAAATATTTTATAGTACACGCCTATAATAAATTTTTAAAAAAGAGATAGCGCCGCCATTTATTTGTATATTGGTAAGAATAATAAAAAAATCAGGTAGTTCATTAAATAAACCTGGATCGGGGTCACAAATCATTTGATCAATCAAAACATTCAATAGGTATGTGTCCTAAAAAAATTGTTTTTTTTTAAATTTAAATATAGGTATACAATAGACGATGATTATTTATACAAATTTATGTCATACATTTTATAAATGGTCACTGAAAAACATCCGATTTCTAATTACACTTGATTCAGTTTTTAATTTACTTTTTCTCACTTTTATTTTTAAAATTGTATTGAAATTTTTAAAATTAATGGCAGATCAGACTCGGAAGTGAATCCATACCATTTTTATTTTCATAATGACTAATTATGAATTAATATCAAATAAAAATTTATAATATAGCATTATATCTCGCTAAATATCATTTCAACTCTGTTAAGGTATCATATTAAACTTTTTCTTACACATATAACTTTCGAGGGGGGAGGGAAGGGGGGTGTAGGCGGTTGTTTAATTAAAGGTCGGCTTGGCTTAAATTGACCCAAATTTACTATTGAAGTTTTTGGCCTATCCATCTGATATGGTCCGTAAAATATAAATTTTACAAATGGTTTGGCCAGAACTGTAATATTTTTTTATGGAGGAAAATGACATATTTTCTTAATATCAGTTTTTAAAATATTTTTTAATTTATGGCCAGTCCCGTAAAAATATTTTGTATCATTTGTTTACCTAGCCCAAAATCCTTTTGGGCTTTCGGGCAGGGCTGTGCCAACCTCTAAGCCTAATAATCAGTATATTTATATTTAGTGATCATGGGGAGTCTAACCTCATTAGTCTAGCAGGGTCTAGAAGGCTCAGGTTTAAGATGATAATTATGAAAAAATAAATTATAGTTATATAAAAGAAAAGTAATTGTAAACTTCGTCTTGATTGGTGTAGCACTCCTTCAGAACAAATTCCCGTATATTAGAGGGATTGAATTCGACCAAAAACCATAAGATATCTATCATGGCATTACGAGTTATTTCATCATCACAAGGCTATGTTTTTTAATAAAAATATGGATAAAATAGAGATAAATATATCGTTATTATTATGGATAAAATAGAGAGATATGTATCATTATTATGTTAAAAATTTTCAGAGTGCATTTATACATATAAAAACATGGATGTAGGGTTAGTTTTTGTGATAATATGACTACAAGGGTTTGATTAATTGATAAAGGCTTTAACATTTATTCTGCTTTTAGAATTTTAAATTTCAGATCTTATGAACAACCAAATGGGCGGAGTATGGTTTATTTTTAATATGAACTTCTTTTTTATTTGCTCATTTGATAAAAAAAATTTATTTTTTATGTAAAACAATTCAAATATATTATATAAGGCAATATTACCAGGATAGACTCCAAAACGGATAAAATTCCTTTGTTCATTAAAGCCTGAATTTAAAATAAGAAAAAAAAATATTATAATAATATATAAATTAACATAATTTTCTAACATGTATAAAATGAGCAAAACCACAATCACAAACTCGAGGAATCTACTATAAAAAAATTATTCGTCCCCTATCACCTATATAAATTCCCGTGATGCGAGTGCAGCAAGGCTTTACATTATGCTTATGATTATAAGATTAAACTATAAAAATGGTTAATATTTGAATTCATTCATTTACATAAAAAAAATACAAAATGTAGTTACAAGGTGTATATATTTTTTTAATAATAGTTTCAAATGGATAGAAATATATATAAATAGGAACTAGTTAAGAAACGATTCTTTTGATATAACCAGCCCACACTTCCATTTTAAGGATTAGATGCTCGTTAGTTATCACACAATATATCTTTTATGAATATTTTTGCTAATGGCTAATTCGATTCATATACAGATGGGTGCTAAAAATAATTTTCTTTTCTTTCTTATGCTTAAGTTTAGCTACATATATTTTTAGAAATTTCTGAAACTGAGATGATATATATTATGATAAAGCCAGGTTTTTCCATTTTAGCCAGCTTGCCTCAACTGTACTAATGAGATATAAATAAGAGATAAAAAAATTAGAGCAGAAATTCCAAGATTTCTCCATTATATATTTTTTTTTCATAAATCAAGTATTCTAGCTTAGGGCTCTGCAAGCAAATTTTTTTATTAATTTTTTATACACAAGCTTGGCCCAAAATTTTTCTCCACTTTTAGGCCCAAACCCAGGAGTCTGATTGTAAAGCTCTATTCTAGCTTATCATTATTTTAATCAAACATTATATTTATATTATTTTATTTGCATATACTTTAAAAAAGCTTTCCTTGCTCTGAGACTGTAGTGTTTGGGAAAACAGGCAAAACTCTTTAACAAACAAAATCAAATTACGTTTTTGGTCTATATTTATGATATCGGATGATAATTGATTGAAAACTTCTACCAAGAGTTTATCATCTTCCTGAATTGAAAAATAATTTTTTTAGTTATATCAAAGTAATATAGATGGTGTGCTTATGGTAAAAAAAATGGCATTAAAATTTTGCAAATAATATATCCAAAAAAGAGTACATATAGCCGTCCTTAATTATTCAAAAAATAGTTGTTTTTGTTTGGTTTTATTTTTATTTTCCTTTTTTATTGAAATATAAAGTAAATTTTACTTACCATAGATTTATTTTTAAAAAATTTATAACTCCAAAAAAAATGCATTTGTTTTAAAAAAATTAAATTGAAAATTTTTGCTTTTTTTTTGTTTCCTAATCTTATATACTTGAATGTAATTGACAATTTCCAATTTGTTGAAGAAAATGAAGGAAGTAAGGGAAGATAATACATTTTCTTCAAATATAGAAGGCTGGGGAAAGATTACATCTTGAATATATTGGACTCTGTAAGTTTGGTGTATTTTTCTAAGCAATTCCTTATTAGTTATGTGGATGGCTTCTTTAAATTTAGCATCCTTGAGTATGTACTCTCGGTGATTTTGCTTTTGATAATCTTTTGTATTTATTTATGTAATGAAATTAAATGTAAAAAAAATCATCAAACATTAAAAAAAATACAAAGCAATTTAATAATATTTTGTGTGAGAAAAGAATTATTATAAAATAAGTAATAACTTGAAAGAATAATCGATACAGGCTGTGCTTCTTTTGTATCCTCATGTAAACTAGATAAAGATGCATCTAATTTTAGAATATTTTTGGTCAATAATTGTGTATTTTGTGTATCAGTGGTAGATAAAGATAATTTATCACAGTCCATAGACTCTAAATTGGCAACACCCATTTCCATAAAATTTTTAGTGTCTTTTAATTCAGTAAACACAGATTTTTCAACCATATCCTCAATACCTATTGTGTTGATTAAAATGTCAGGGTTTTTGGTGTCTGAAATGCTTGTGGCTACTGGCACCTGTGTGTCTTTGACTAGTTTCATGTAATCATTTTGAGATATATCAGTATTTTCTTTGTTTGACTCAGATTCAATAGTAGAAGAAACTATTACATCATCTTTATTAGCTTCAATAAATTTATTCATATCATTTTTAGTATTTGAATATGTTTCACATTGGGTGATTACCAAATTATTAATGTCCTGCTTTTTTAAGCTTGATTTAAGCATGTTGTCAGCCAAAGAATATTCAACCTTTTCCTGTTCTAAAGATACAATTGGGTCATATTCCAGGCACCCAATAACATCAACTATTGCATCATCAGCTAACAATAATTCAAGTATTGCATTCCTATTAAGTAAGAATAAGTTTTTCAATATGTGGTAAATATGATGCAAGCCTTCTATGTGGTCTAAATCTTCGCATATTCTAAATAATTCAAGTATTTTTCCAACATAATTTTGGTTTTCTATAGCTAAAGCTAATCTTTCACGCTTATTAGCTTGCATCATACCAACTATGCTACCATGACCCACGTGCTCTGAAATTATATTAGAAATTTCTGACAAATGATTTATGTCACATACTGGTAAGATTAATGCATTGTTAAGACCCATATGACTATCACTAATAAAATAATCCTTATCATGATTGAGTAAGATTTGTGAAGAATTCGATTTTTCAAAAAAACTAAAACTATTTTGAATATATGAATTTGAAGCTAAATTATCATTTAAAGTAGAAAATTTATCATCATTATTATCAAAATCTTCTTCATAATTAAAATTAAAGGAATGAGTATCATTTTTAGCCTTCTTCTGGTTAGTTTCACCTTTTGATTTTCTTGGTGTATCTTTTCTCTTACCAGTAAAATCATTTAATGAATTATAAAGATAATCATTATCTCCACCTATGTTAACCATATATTCAGAACTTTTTTCATTAACCTCATCGTCAACATTATCATTTGTTAATGCCTTAATAGATTTATTTTCTTGATAATTATATTCAATATTTTGCATATTTTCATAAGATGTTATTGATTCATTAAAATCTAAATTAATATGATTATGAGATGAATGTGGATTATTAATTAATGAATCATCTGGAATATTTTCTTGATATGTATATTCATTCATTTCTGTGTCATTATAATCTTCTTCAATTTCTTCATCGATACATATGTTAGGATCTTTACCTTGGAACTAATTTTATATAGATATAAGAAATATTTTAAAAAAATACTTCACAAATTTTATTCCATATATCATCTCGCCCTTGCCTTTCCTGAAAACTTAAGGCTATATCATTTCCATTTTTATTTGTCCATAATATTAATGTATCCTAAAATATTTATTATAAATTATAATTAACTAAATAAATACTTGTTGTTTTTGATAAACAATATCTGATGCAATTAAATGTTTTAATAATAAACTGTCTAAAAAAATATGTCAGAAAAAATAAATAATGTATCAATACCATCAATCTCAGAGTGTACTAATAAAGTGATTGTTTTATCTTCTTGTGCTTGTGAGTAGAAGGATGTAATATGTCCTGTACCTTTATCATTCCAAGCACGTTTATCATTTAGTAAATATAGCTTAACCCTATATAAGATATCGCCCATATTAATCGTAAATTTTATAAAACATTGCCCATTTATTTATAGTAAAATAAAACTCACGAAATAGTAAAAATTAACACATCTTTTAATCGGGAAAAAATGTTAGGCAAATTGTCTATTATAAATTTGGCATAAATTGTTTTTTTAAAAAACGTTAAAAACTAATTTTTTTTATAATGTTATATTCTTAAAAATTTTAAAAGCAATACTAAAATTAGCAAAATATTATATATTTTTTTTAATTAATTGTTCATTATTAATGTTATGGTTTATAATAATTTGTATTTATTAAATATATAATTTGTGAAAAACTAAAAGATATTAAGAAAAATTTAAAGCTAATCAAGAAGCTCCGATGCTTACAAATGTGCATCAGCTTAGAGTTTTTCTCAGCTTTTTTAATTATTGTGTAAGATTTATTAAAAATCTTTATGGAGGGGCTGCAGTGGCGTCACTAGGGGGGGGGGGCGTGCAGGGGCTTAAGTCCCCTGAAAAATTTGAATAGCCCCCTGAAGCAAAAAAAAATTTTTTTTTTAATGGTTCCTTAATATCCTCTTAAACTAAAAAGAACTTTTTTTGATTGTCCCCTGTTTATTATAATTCTATTAAGTAATATATAGATTTAATTTTATTATTTAAAAATTAATAAGACTATCTAAATTTTATTAGATTAGATTAATACATATAAATTATATTTTCACTATGTCAGCTTGCAATCAAATTCTTTGTTAAAAATAAAATATCAATACCATGCATAATGTTTAAATATCAATTTAGCATTAACAGTTGAAGTTTAATTGATTTTTATTAATTAAATTATTATATAACCCTAATTAAATAAATATAAAGATTTATTAAAGTTTAAAATCACTATTTAAATAAAATGACTTTGCGATTTAAAAATTTTAGCATTAAAGACTTTATGAAAAAAACTAAAGATAAAAGTAGCAATAATCTTGAGGACCAAAGAAGAGGATTCAATAATAAAGTTGGTGATGAACAAAGTATATTTTATACAGTTTTTTAAATTCAAACTTTGATTTAGTTGAAAGACGATTAATTGTAGTTTTAAAAGATATAAATATTGAAAACAAAATGTTATAAGAAAGAAAATAGGAAAATAAATTTATATATAAGTCTGTGTCCAAAATGTTTTGAAAAAATCCTTAAAATTTTCACAAATTAATAACAAAACACTTTGGACATTTAAGTTTTAAAAAATAAAAATTTATTAGTTAATTATCTTTTTTAATGGAATGTTTCTTTTTCACTTGATCATAATTGAAGTTATATGTTTTTCCTATTTACTCCCAAATTTGCCTAATTTCTTTAGAATTTCTATTTAAGTCATTTTTCACCAGAGTATTAAACAATATTGATTTCTTTAGTTTTCAAGTTAAGCAAAAATTGCTATACAATATATTTTCAAATGGAAAATTTTTTTAAAATTTTTCTATTATAATCACATAAAGTGATGTCAAAATATTAGCTAAATAAAACATAGTAAATATTTTCTATATAAATAGTCAATATCTTAAAAAATCATACACTATTATTCTTTTTACATTAATAAAGATAATATTGGATAATTGTTTACTCAATCATTCTTTCATAATTTGATAATTATATATTTATTTGTTTATCCTAACTTAATAATAAACTATATTTTAATGAAAATGCTAAATAAATTTAGAATAGTTTGCTTATTTATATATATTTTTGAAAAATGGACACTATAATATGGAATATTACTTTTTATATATTATATTTACAAAAATAAATACACTGAAAAGAAATACATTTTAAAATTAATCTTATTTAAATTCATTGAATAATGAAGAAAGTATTGTGAATGACATGATTGTTATTTTCATAATTTCTTCCAAACATAATTTCTTCCAAACATAATTTCTTCCAAGATTTTAGGTGTTTTCTAACATACTAGATTTTGATATGAGTTAACATCGTGTATGTCATGGCTATGACTGCAAATTAACCAGCATCTATTATTTGTGTGGCTATGTAATTTAAGATTATTACTACAGCTGCTGAGAGCATATGATTGCATAATTAAGATGAGCAACAATGATCAACTGTCCAGTAGTTTATATAGGATTAAAAATGGAAGATAACCTTTTAGAAATTTAATATCTCACAATAATTTTCTCGATTACTTATCTAGCTTCCATCATGTCATCTAAGAGGAAGCTCTAACCACCATATAGTTTTATGATTTGGATTGGTCGTTTATATTCTCTTCTTCAAGAATTGTTGATTTGGTTAGGCCTATAAAATTTTCCTTATTAGTCCATTCTATAAAACTTTGTCTAAAATGGTAAGAGAGAGTTATATTAGTTTTATGACCTTTTGTTAATGTTAGTTGCTTATAATTATATTGCCTTATAGGGTTTTTAAAAACATTAACAATTGAGGCATATGTATGAATTAATTAATCGGTTTTATCACTTGTAATTCTTTAGACGCGAAATTTTTATATCAGCAATTTAAAATACTTTATACTGTAGTAAATCGATTTTGTATTGAAAAATATATAGAAATGTATTGTTTTAATTATTAATATTCTAGTTTTAATTATTTATATTCTAGTTTTAATTATTTATATTCTAGTCTTAATTATTTATATTCTAGTCTTAATGATATTCATATTCTAGTCTTAATGATCAATATTCTAGTCTTAATTATTTATATTCTAGTTTATTTTGTACGTATAATATAAAAAAAACAAAATATGAAAATAAAAATAATCTTTCAAGAGTTTAGTAATTTTTAAAAATATATTAATATATAACCCGGCCGAAGGCCGGGCTAAAGCGGGCCGAAGGCCCGCAAATTAGGGAATATGGGGGCGAAGCCCTCCATAAATTTTTTTTAGTTGAGCCCCCTGAGATTGTAAAGGCTAGCGACGCCCCTGAGTGTCTGCTCCTTTACATCGATTAAAGAGTGGGCATGGATATCAGTAGAGCAAACTACTTTGAAAAATAATTAAAGCGTTTTTATCAACTGGTAAGACGTTAATAGCTTATTCGCCTGATTTGTCGATTGTACTTGAAATAGACGCTTCAGCTATGGGTTTTGGTGCAATAATATTACATATTTACCTAGTGGCAGAACAAAAGAATGTCAAGCTGGTGGAAAGGAATGATCAAAAGAATGTTAAGCTGGCGGAATTTACTCAAAAAGTTTAAATTATCCTTGAAAATTCTGAGATAGAACTATTAGGAAACATGTTGATCAGTTGCTGGAACGAGTGGTGTCATCGCAACTTGATAAAACAGAGGGAGCAAAACTTGTAGAGTGAAAAAACTACTAAGTATCGTGCGATGTTCTTCACAAAATCCCGAGGTACCAAAAAAACTTGATTATTTAAACTAATTTTGGGGAAATATAATGTAGTATATATTATTTGTGTGTAAATTATTATTTTAGAATTATACATAATTTTAAAAATTGATGTTTAAAGTATAGATTGTATGACTAATAAAAGTATTTGATTACATAATAAAAACCAAAATTAATTTTAAGATAAATTGCTTAAGGAATAAGAATTTCCTAGGTTCAAATGCTTGTAATTTAATTATTGTAAGCTAAATTTAAAAAATACCGACTGTCTGTTGGTACAATTGACGAATATATAATCGCTGAGGTTTTTATAAATGTAAATTTACTTAGTTTTTGCTAGAGTAATCAAGTTGCTATTTATATTAATGGTGAAGGATGAGACACATGTATACATAGGCGTAGCCAATGGGGGGGGGGGCAAGGGGAAATTTCTCCACTCCCCTTCAGAAATTTATCACTTTTTGTGAATATCATTTTAAGCTAATAAAAAATATCCCCCTTAGTCCTCCTCCCACTTCCTGACCCCCAAAAATGTATGCATATATCTTAAACAATAATTTGAAATAAAGAATGTAAAAGTTGATATTTTTTTATAAAACTATTCAACATAATTTATACATTTTTGGAAAAAAGCATATAAAATAAGTGAACCAAAAATGTTTTTTAAGAAATGGAATATAAGGCAAAGATAAGTCTTAAGACAAAAGTGAAATGTATTATAATTATTAATAATAGATCCATAAAATTATTAAATAATATAATATATCAAATATAATTTTTTATAAGGTGAGTAATTTTAATTTATTTATCTTCATAAAAGTAAAATATAATTATAAAACTTTTGATAAATTTAAATCATAAATTAAATAAAAAAATATTAAAGCACAATACAAACAGTGGAATATTATATGTCGTAGATATACAGTATATTTAATTTTATCAATTATCATATGACAATCAAGTAATTTTTACCAATATAGCGCATTATATATTTTACAGAAAACTATAAAATATTGATAAGGACATCAGAAAATATCTTTTAAAGACATTGTGGGATGAATAATATGAAGATTAATTTTTAATATCATTATTTAAAATAAATAGATGGCGTTAAATATTTGAATGCAAATTGTTGCAATATTTATTATCAAGAGCATTAATTAGTAAAATTTGTTAAAATATTAACTGTAATATATTCTCTAACGTCAAATATGTTTGTAAAAGTGGAATTTTATATAGTATTTTGTAACTAATTCTATATAATAGAGGAATATCAATATTCTACTTACTTTTTATAAATAAATTTCTTATACTTGTTTGGAATAAATTATTACTATGCTTTTATATTAATGTATATACAAGTAACTTATTATATTTTATATAAACTAATAAAAATGTATTTTGAGAATGACTAACCCTTTTAAATTAAACTAAAAAGGAAAGCAGAAATTTTAATTGGAGAATAATGTCTATGATTGTTTGCGATATATAAACCCCACTCCCTCGCCCATGTAGACGCTTGATGAGTCATTAAAATGTCAAAAATATTATTACCTTATGGATGATAACCACAATCCCCATCGTAGCTCCATCATTGTTTCTTTGAATAAGACGTTTTGAATCTTTCAAACCGTTTCGAAATCCATAAAGAAAAAAACACATATCACTCCTTTTTATAAACTTAAACAAAACATTGCTATTACAATAATTCG